CATCTCTGCCTCCCAAAGGTTTGCACAGCTGTTTGTTGCAACAGCCCTGGCTAAAAGCTCCCCAGGCGAATGGTGCCTCTGGGGCTGGCCAAGGGGTGCTTCCCAGGCCCCTATGGGGCAGTGGGAGGAGGCACCTCTCTTTGGGGCAAGGGGGTCAGCTCAGAGACGAGGGACAGCAGCTGCAGTTGCCCAGAGCACTCCCAAGGAGAGGGGGGAAGAGAGGAAGCTGAGAGAACACTCCACAAGGGAGTATGTTCGAAAAAGGGTGAGAGGTTGCCAGCTCTACACGCAAGGGGTGACACTACTGGACTCCTGAGTCCCACAGGGGTGCCACAGAAAGAGTGTAGTTGGTCAAGGGTGCCATGGACGCCAAAAGGTTGAAAACTTCTGGCTTAAGAGATGAATGTGTTGACATTAAGAGGACTGAGGATTTAGTGAGCGAGGCTTTAAAAAAATATTAACTGTAAAAGCAACATCTGTAAAGCAGACTCACTGTTGGGCCGTCTAAAATTAGCTCTTCCACAGTTACGACGTCTAGTCCAAGTCTGTCTGACAGAATTTCAAATATATATTTATATGCGGCATTAACTTTCATTTTCCGGCCTTCCCTGGCTTCTTTAAATCGTGCCTAATGGAAAGAAAATGTGTTAAGAAATAATGCAATTCCGACTTCTTCTTTTTCCTGTGAATCCTTTGTTTCCCAGGTCCCATAACCATACTGCAATTACACCTTAGTATGTGTAATTATAATAATCACATCTCTCCCCCCGCCTCCTGTCGTGCTGGCTCCATTCCCCTCCACCTTCCTCAGTTGTCTCTCTTGCATACTTTTCTGTATTGTCAACCCCTCTGGGTAGTGCTGTATACATAAGCAAATAAATAAAGAGCATATTTAAAACTTTTCCGTAAACTGATTCTATCTAATACAGCGTGGGGGGGCTATATTGCCCTCTGGATAGCCTCTTGAGGGCCACATGTCAATGGTGGGTTGGGATATAAGTGACAGGAGGTGGCTGAACAAATGTAAATTGTACCTTTCTACAGTAAGTTAGTTTCCATGCACACTCACACACCCCTCTGTATCCTTCCAGGCAAGCAAGAGGCACTGTGGGAGCTCAGGCATGTTACAGCCAAGCAGAAACATTTAGGGTGCAAATTTAACGTGGATTGGTAACAGCTCTGAAAGCCAGATAGAGAGGACTGGAAGGCCACATTTGGTCTGAGGTCCTTCCCACCACCTGCTCTACTGCTACACTTTCATTTTTGTATACCTGAGAATTTATCCATTACTCTGTCTCTGAAACAATAAAAATAAAAGAACAATGGTTGAGAGCCTGAAACTACATTATGGTTGCGGAAGGGCAAACTCTTGGCACAGTCTGGAATGGATTTGGCTAATATGAGATCAACTACAAAGCATGTTCTCCTTCACGGAGAGCACGTGTTGCGGTGGGGGCCGCCAGGACACTCCAATGTTGGGGGTGGGCTAATTGATCGTTGGCCACTGATGCGATTGGGGCTTCCCTTGTTGTTGGGAGGAAGTTAATGTTGCCAATTGTTGATTGACAGCCAGAAATGCTAAAACTTCTTGCACAAGGGTACGACTTCCTCTTTTCGCCCATGCATCGGATTGCCCGTCCCTCCCTCCCTATAATAGGGTTGTTCGCTTTCACCTTGCTATGCCTGTCATGGGGTCGTCTGCTTTGGGGCAGGGGCCCGGTAGGAATTTTGTCCATCTGGCTGATTGGCTGGGGCCATTTGGTTTTTGCCTACTGCATAGCAAATCGTCACAACTTGTAAGGTTCGCGGTTAGGCATTGGTTTATGGTTTGGTTGGTTGATAAATTGGTTGAGGGGCATGGATTGGCTGTGCCTGCCCCTCTAATGCTGCTGCTGCAAGGGATTCCGTTAAAGGAATTGGGGGCTAACTTTTGCTTGTCCACTCTGTCAAGGGGGCTCGGGCCATAGCAATGAGCTCCTGGTTGCATTTGGGGAGGGCTGAGGGCAGGTTCCCTGCTCCGACGCTACCCCCAAGTGTCTTCCCCTCTTCTGACTTTCGCATCGTGCAGAATGTCAGTCTGTCCCCCATGGTGGGGGCAGATAGTCGCAACCAATGCCTAAGCAACCACTCACAAATTTGTATTTTAATAAAGTTGTGGCCAAAATTATGCCAAAATTCTTAAACAAAAATTCTGTGTGATGTGTGAGTTATTGGGGTGGCCATGGGGACCTTGACACGCAACAACTTCCCGCCAGTTCAAAACATGCCAAAAAAACTCCATTGTCAGTTCAAGACAAAACAGCCGAGAAGCGGAGGTGGCAGAAGCAGACGGGATAATGCTCTGCCTAGTTGAGGCTTTGAAGGGATCTGGAGGATCTGCCTTGAAACGTTACTAGTTTTAAGTCAGTTTCTATTGTCTGTAGTAATGCAGGGATCGGGTAACACACTTGAACTACCAGCTGTTTATATTCTTTTCCACCATAAAGACTTCTGAGTGCCAACAGTTGTGCCTAGTTAGTATATTGGACAGGATAATATCAACTGAGTACAGTGGATGCTCGGGTTGCGAACGTGATCCATGCGGGAGGCGCGTTTGCAACATTTCTGCGCATGTGCAAAGCGCGATTTAGCGCTTCTGTGCATGTGCGACCACCAAAACCTGGAAGCATCTGTAACCTGAGGTATGACTGTATAACGCATCATCTCACTAATACATGCCTAAATTTAAGTGGAAGGGCTTATAAAACACACACACACACCCCAAACTCTGACACACAAACCTGTTTTTCCTTTAGAGTTTCCTGCAGAGACTGAACCCCACTGGTGCTCCGTCGGAATTTAGATGTTCTGCGGCTTGCGGCGTCTGCCGGCCCACGGCCAGGGGGTCTAGGTCGACTACGTTCAGAAACTTCTTTTGGTTCTTCCTCCACAGCTTCTCTACCTCCGTCCTCCGCAGCCTCTCTAGCTCCATCCTCAGCAGCTTCTCTAGCTCCTTCCTCTGTTGGACCAGGTCCAGAGTCTGCAGCCTCTGGTGCCCCAGGGCCGCCGAGTTCAGCATCTGCTGGGGGGCCTGCGTCAGGATCTGGGGGAGGCTGAGCATCCTCTGGACCAGGAGCAGCATCCGAGTCCGTGGGTGCCTCTGGTTCAGGAGCAGGCTCTTGTGGCGCAGCAGCAGGCTCTGGGGCAGCACCCTCACCAGCACCCGGAGCTTCTGGTGTCTCCTCCATTTCAAATGCTAGTGTGCAAACAACGTCTGTGTCTATATGATAAAACAAAAATCAGAACATCATTTACCACAAGACTTGGGTTAGGCACTGGAACAACCTCCTAAGAGGAGGTCATCTCCACAAGGTGCCAAAGGTTGCACTGACTGAAGAGTTAAGACAAATTGCTAGAGGACAAGAACAAGCAGAGACATTTTCAGTAGATGATCAGAAATCAAAATAAAACAAAACAAAAATTGAATTCCTTTTTGGACTGGAAGGCAGACAATAAAATCATTTCAGAACACTTACTGTATTGGCCTGAATATAAGCTGCATCCGCAAATAAGCCGCCCTGAGCCCGGTCTTGGCTGGGGAGGGCGGGGTATAAATAAATTATTTATTATTATTATTATTATTATTATTATTATTATCATTAAATAAGCTGAACCTTTAAAATTTGGGGGGGGGGAGGAGACAACACATGGCAGTGACCACGTGGTCTGAGCAAAACAATGCGGCCCTAGATGACCTGCACAGTGCACTGGGAAATGATGGGGGGGCTGCCAAAGGCGCCTGAATACTTCCCCGAAGAGACAACCCTACACAGTGCAGTTGGGGGGAGGTTTGTGTAGGGCGGCAGCAGCAGCCTGCCTGGGCACTCCCAACCCACCAGTGGCTGCCCCCCACACTGTGTGACCCCCCTCTCCCTAACAGCTGTGGGGGCCTGCTGGGCAAGAAGAGACATTCTGCGGGGGGGGGGAGCTCACCTCACGCTGCGCCAGGCTTTTTGTAAGGTCACAAATATAAGCCACACTTTAATTTTTCATGGTCAGAATTTGGAGGAAAAAATATGACTTATATTCGGGCCAATAGGGTATTATAGCACATGATACTGCCTCTTTCTTTTCTTTTTTAAAAAATAATTTTTATTAAACACTTTCAACGTACCAAATTATCAATCCAAATAATCAATTACACTATTTCCCCCCTCCCCCCATCCCTCCCTCTCCCCCGCCAAGGACTTCCCTCAGTTCCCCTTCTCTGATTTCTTCGTGCATATTGTTCTCTGCATGTTATTAATTGTACATATCCTTGCCTTATTTGTCATGTGTTCAACTAATAAATTTGTGGATGTTTATTCAAAACCTGCCAAGGAGTCCAAGTCATTTTGTTGTCTTTTTAAATAATTTGTAAAAAGTTCCCATTCTTCTTTGAAGTCACAATTGTCCTTGTCACGCAGTTTACCGGTATATGTCAATTTAGGCAGTTCCGCATAGCTCATTATTTTTCTTGCCACTGTTCTTTCGTTGGGGTTTCCTCATTCTTCCATCCTTGTGCTAAGACTATTGCCGATACTGCCTCTTTCGCCAGACCACTGAGACAGGGTTTCATTATACTGTATAGAGGGCAGCAGGTTTGCCTCTATAGGCTTGCGTTCTCCAGTTTTCCTCCTCTAAAACAAGACACAAGATGTCAAGTATTCCCCTCTCTCCCAACACAAGAATGTCCTCTGACTTACCTTGTTCAAAAAGATGAATGAACCACTAAGACAGTCACAGTGAATTCATCCACTGAGATCAGAGCAGTTTCTCTCTCCTCTTCAGAACAAAATGAACCCAGGGATGGTGGGTGGAAGAATTCATAAAAAGCCGACTCACACAGCTAATGCAGTTTAAACAGGCTTCCAAGAACCCACCTGGGACTATATGCGGAAGGACACATTACATTCTAAGGTGTGCATGAACCACACTGGCAGTTGGGCACAGAACCTGCACACCCAATAATGGGATGGAATCATGATGCAAGCCCAACTGTAATGTTGTATGGTTGCTTCCAGAAAACCTGTTTATGGAGTGTTCATCTTGATCTGTTCGCACAAAATCTGTGTGGATGCTACACAACATTGCTGTCAAGTGTCAGTTGTTCCACATTTCCTCACCATTACTTTTCTTACCATGAAATGTCTTATTTTTAAAAAAACACACACACTACAAACGGTTTATTGCACAGAAGTGCAGCAGTGCTGTTGCTATTTATCATAAGGTACCCACTTCATTGCACAAATGATACATACAAGCATCTACTCAGATGGGGGAGAGATCCACACAAAAGTGTTGCTGACAGCTTGGAAGCAAACTATATAATCTCCATTGCTAGGCAAATACCTTTCATTGTGGCAGCCGAGGTAAAAAACACAATGTGCATCTAGCCTCTCAGGTAAATTCAGTGTACATGAAGACACACTGCAATACTCTAGATGCCGATCAGAAAGAACTAGGCTACCCAGTGCCAGTTGTATAACGATTTGTGCTATTACTGCACCAACATTTTGCTTTGCTAAACAGCGGCAGCTGACTACCATTTGCTTATATACTTGAAAGGAAGTAAATGAGTGCACTTGACATCTCTGGAGTAGGCAATGCTAAACATGCTTCTTGCTTATCTCAGTCATTCAACTCATAAAAAATCTCTGAGTTAGATTTTACAGTATTTGCAAAGTTCTGTTTCAGCTTTTGTTTCTGTTAATTAGTCTCTCTCTCTCCCTCCCTCGTATTTTATGGACACATGGGTGCTGTGTACAAGGAGCAGGTCCACTTTAGGCCTGAATCAAAGTCTGCTTTCACAAAGCTATGATGATCCTTCTACTGCTAACGCTGAACAAACCAGATCCATCTCCATCTCTGTTGTATATTCTTTGTGAGCGAGTGAGCAGAATGATACATTATATTTTAAATGATGCACCAAAGATATACACCATCTAGAGGTTGGGCTGTCTCTCGAGATATCATTGCCAAACTCAGCATGAATGATCCCAAGAGGCAAGTGGGGGTCTATGTCAATGTTTGGATGCCTGGTGCCATTTTGAAACAAGATGGCAGATCAAAACGTGACTTTTACATGAATTCATCTGTTTCTTGGCAAAGGGGTTGGCTGCCTATAAATATATTGCTGCCAAACTCAGCATGAGGATTTCCAATGTGTATGTGAGGGGTGGGGGGTGGTCTTTGCCAGGCACCATTTTGATTGTGACTTTGCCTATTTTTGGTGTAAGTTTGGTGTAAGTTTCAATATATTGTCACCAAACTTGACACAAGGATTCCCAAGGTGGAGGCGGCACTCTTCATTGACATTTGGACACTGTGTGCCATTTTGAAATAAGACAGCAGACCAAAATGTGACTTTGGTGTGACTTAACCCAATTATTGGTGTGACAGGTCCAAACTCACAACTTACACTGTCCATCTAAAAATCACAATGTTTTGGGATTTCTAAGCTTCCTGAGCAGTTCTGGGCACTCTTTTAGTAATATCATAATACTGTAGTGATATTAATCTTTCTAAGTGCCATAGTTTTCCACTAGGACCCTAAAACCAATTTCCCAAGTAACTGTTAATTTGGAGCACAAAACCATACTTTGCACTTCGTGCTCATTAGCATTTAACAGTCCAATTATACAAGTGTGTTTAGGATCGTAGGCTACATCTCATTCTGTTCCTTGGTCACCTACAATTCCCAAAGTTTCCACGAAAAAGGGATTGATTATGAAAGTGCTGTGAGAGCGGTTGGTCCGATAAGACAATAGGACTCCAGAATTCTTAAGGAAAAGTTTATCAAGTGATACCATAGTGCTTTAAAAGTATGACGTGCGCGCGTGGGCCATGTCTCTCCAACAAGCTGCCATTGCGTTGCCCAGCCAAACTCCACCACCACTCCCAACCAAAGACAACGCTTGCTACACATAGATTTGGGTCGTTCTCTGACCCTCTATGCAAACCTAGCCAAGGACTACCTCCTTGACCACTTCTTCATGGAGAAAAATGTCTCACACCGTCACAAATGAAAGAGGCTATTAGCTTTGTTTCCCCATCTTAGAATATTCGTGCTGCAAATGGGCTGTCTATAAGCGTCTAAAGTAAGAGGTAAAAGAATGGGCATCCCTGAAAGGATTTTGACAGTATGGCTGAGGATAAACCAAATGAGGATCAGTAGCTGGTCTTGCCTTTTAAAGTTACCCTGCTTTTTCTACATTCTAGGCTTATCACAGATGATGTCTCCATTACTAGATAACTGCAAACACATGCATGCTCCATGAGAATCAGCAGCACAGGCTTTTGAACACTTGCTTTTTAAAAGAAATAGTGCATAAAGAAGGTATCATGGTTTTAAGTTTTATATACATACTGATTTTTTATTAGTGAAGTACAATAAAAGCGTGGCCTGAAATTCTGGAGGTTGACTTCCTTCCAGTATAGCAGCTTAAATTCCACAGTAAAACTGAAGCACTTTTCTTATCTTGATGCTCTATTTCTGTCGTTTACTTTGGTGCATTACCGCCATACTTGAGGCTGGTACGCAGCCTGTGGAAAAAGTCAGAAGTTTACATCAAAGACAGGAGCTAACATAAACCCACATCGATCAGAAAGTAAAGAGGTAGAAGTTCTACAACAAATTAAACAAGCTCAGCACATTAAATGGAATGAAGTTGTTGCATAGCATGGCAGGAGAGTTCTCTTTTCTTCTCGCATGCATGAGAAACCTGGCATTGACTTGACAATGGTTACCAAGATTGTAAAATACTGTGCCTACAGTGCTTTCAGTGTCCGGGCTGGAATTTTTTAGCTAACCATTTTTTATGATATGAATTAACATTTACTGCTTCCGCTTCCCTGAAAAAGGAACAGTGTCGCAATCTGCGAAAGACGGGATTAAAAATCACCTGCTTTGCTGGGGATTCTGGGAGTTGTAGGAACAGAGATTTCGTCCTAGGGAAGCGCCGCTGCTATAGGCGGAAGGGATTGCATGATGCGAGGTGCCCTAATTTGCATGGCTGGTCACTATTGGCCAGAGATTCAGGGAACCTCGTTCTCCCTGTCGCGACAGCTACACCCTTGTAGGGCTTAGGATCCACTCCGGGAAGCAGTTCGTCTCCAGAGTCTCAACATGTCCGAGCAAGGAGAGCCCGTCGGCCTCACCGATGAAGCAGCTTTCAGTGCCTGCTCCGACCCTCACCCCAGCACGAAGGTAAAGCGAGGAGATGATTTTTAATGTGTGCATATATAAAATGGGAGGGAGGGTTGCTTTTTGTAGGGGGCGCAGAATTGCAAAGCGTTGGGAAGTTGCATTAACTCCTTGCAGGGGATCTCTCCCTCTCCCTTTGCAAGCGGCGTGCAAAAGAGACGGGCTCGGTTCTCTTTTCGGGCTTGGAGATACAGAGCCGAGACAGGGCCAGCCAGCGATCGCCTTTCACCCGAATATTTGCGTGGCTGAACTTTAGCGCCGTGACCCGAAGGATCATATCTCTCCCGGCATGCTTGAGCTCGCCGGCTATCGCGGTTTAGAGCCTCTGTGCGATCTGTTCTTGGTGCGGAGCTGTAGTCTTTCCTGGGAGAGTATATTGCGAGATCCTTTATCCCACGTTTGCCTTGCTTTAGCTGTCCGACTATTACAAGCGCCCAGGCCTCTGCATTTCCATTTACTTCGAAATGCCCTACTAAGTAAAGCATTGTTTACAGGGCAATCCTACTACACACGCTTTACTGAGAAATAAGCCTCGTTGAGTTTGTGTAGCATTTCAGCCTAACTCGTGTAAGGTTGTGGCCTCGCTTGGGCTGCACACTAAGCCCCCTTCAAGACAGTAGGACCGTTGAGAGAACCTGTTTGGAAATGTACGGCTAGTGGCTTTAAAATACCATTTCTTGCAATGCTTTTGCATGCATAGAAATAATCTGGAATAAAGACACTGTACTTCAGGCATAGGCAAACTCGGCCCTCCAGATGTTTTGGGGCTACAACTCCCATGATCCCTAGCTAGCATGACCCGTGGTCAGGGATGATGGGAATTGTAGTCCCAAAGCATCTGGAGGGTCAGTTTGCCTATGCCTGCTGTACTTGAACCCCAATCAAAGCATTTTGCTCAGTCCCATTTGTTTCTGTGTTGGACTAGGACACAGGGTTTGACTGTTATTGCACAGTCATATGTATTTTAAAAACCATCTGGAACTGTTGCATCTTGCAACCCCAGTTTAAAATACAGGCAATTCCCAATTTTCACAGGGGTTAGGTTCCAAGGCAAGTGTGTGTGTGTGTGTGTATAATTTATTTTCGATTTTAAAAAATCCAATCTATGCCACATTGTATCAATACCAGATTACCCCACACATTTCTCATTAACATTTAAAAATAATCAAGAAGAACACATTTTTACACACATACCCCAAATCCCCAGACTTCCCTCCACCCCCTCTTCTGGTTCTTTAAATAAACCAAATCATCTTACATTCCAGATCCCTTTACCCAGTTTTCCAACTACTAAACAATTAAACTTGTGGTGTACAGCACAGATGTTTTAAACATTCAGACCATTTTATACATTACACATCTATGCTTTCATGCTATTTCCCCTTCTAATTATCCTTACTGTTGCTTTTTGCAAGCATTTAATCCATGTCTGCTGATGTCCCAATTTATTTACAACCGCTGGCCCCTAAATAAAAACCATTTTCCAGACTGTTATCCATTCTTTTTTCCCTACTTTGGCATATTTAAATCTCCTCTGAAAATGGCTTCCCATTTCAGCCCTTCTTCCTTCCAAATTTCTCTCTGTCTCCACAGCTGTGATTTCACCCAAATTTCTCTAACTATTCTCTGTCTGTACTCGTATTTAAAGCTCCTTAAAGTCTCAGTTGTGTTTATTGAGCCAACTTCAAGCTTCTTCCTTCTTTTATTCCTCCCAACAGGAAATCTTATAATCCTCAGCAAAGCTCTTCATGTACCATAGATTCCGGAGTATAAGATGACTTTTTAACCCTGGAAAAGAGTTTTAAAAGTCGGGGTTCGTCTTATATGACGGGTATGGGCAGTGCGGAGCAGAGCCCGCCCGCTGCTGTGGTGGTGGCGGCTCTGAAGCAGCAGCAGCAGCCGCCGGTGCGGAGCTGCCCAGCGTATTAGGTGACTGGGCTTATAAGACGAACCCCCAAATTGCAGCTGCCAATTTGGGGGGTCGTCTAATAGGCCCAGTCGCCTAATATGCCAGAATCTGTGGTATCTTAATCCAAGTCTCTTCTGCTGAGTTCCTCAACACAGTACAAAATTAAATTCCCAATTTTATAATCCAATTAGTGATAATAATGCAATTATGATAGAGTTGTTAAGAACTTTCCTTTCCACAACCATAAACGAAAGGTTTGAGACAGTGGTGTTAGGGCTCCTTGACTCTCCCAGGAGTCTGGCACCACCTTCCCTTTTCTGCCTCTCAGCACAGCATCGTAGCCACTTTTAAAATCTCCTGATATTGACAATCAGTAAAGAATGGCTTTTGGTGGCTCATCAACAGGCACTTGCTATAAGTTTTTAATAAAATAAGTTCTCTTACTTGCAGCTTTTCGCCATGTAACGTAATTTATCCAGAAATCGAAGGGTGGACCTCCTGTTTTAACCCTTCATGTATCACCAAATTTAGTCTAATTAAATCCAATCTGATTCTCCAATCAAAATTGTAGAAGATGCAAAATTCCCCTTATCCTCTTATTTCAGCTTGAATCTTTTTAGTTGAGAATCTCCTGCTGACAATAGGCAGCTCAAAGCTTTGTCCCACAGAGTCACATTGCAGCTGAGAGCGCTCTCAACTTCTCTCCACCTCTCCCCCCCTCCCGCTTGCCATTTGGCAGTGGTTTTTTCGGGGGAGATTTGGCGCTCTGCCGGGCCGCTTGACACTCTGCACACCTTTGGAGGTGCCTTGCCATGGCGCCCTCACCTCTAACCTCTGTGGGCTCGGGTCTGTCCGGAGCTGAGACCCGCGCTCCTTATTCTGTCGGCAGGAAACCGGAAGTGAAATTGTGTATATTTGAAAGACCACTGGAAATGCTTGCAAACACCCTCTAAACCTCTGGAAACCCTTAAAAAACCTTTTGAAAAAACAGCAACACTTGCCAGACATCACAATCTCGTCCTTCAAACCTCCTTGCTCAAAATTATTCAAAAACCAAATTAATCAATTTGAGATGACTTCCTGTGTACTGGGTTTCAGCTTACAAAGTTCTTATTTCTTCCTGCTTTCATAATCTTAATTAATCCAATAACAACAGTTCCAGTCTTAATCCTTTGTTGACAGCCACTGGTTTCTTGACTTTCATTCATAGTTACATATATAACTTTTATTTCTGCAAGTGGAATTTGTATCCAATAAATTTCCTGTGTGAGATGTTAATTCCATTTGTTTCTTCATTTTCCCTGCTGTAATCCAATCATAAAAGGCATCTATACGTCTACATTTTCACTTTCTCTCCTCCTCTCAGAAGTTATTTCCACTGCATCACCACACCATCTTAGTTTGTCTGAGCAAAGGTCTGTTCTTGCCACAACTCTTAACTGCTTCCAAGTGGTGTACGAACTCAATTCTTGGATGTGGGCTATACATAACACTTTAGTTTCCTCATAATTCCTAATAACAGTTTCAGTTAGTTCTGAATTAGTGAACATGTTTCTCCTCAGAACTGGATAAAATAAGTGTGTACCATTTATGCTGCTGAAATCTCATAAATCCCTTTCCCCATTTCTTTATATAATTTACTTTCTGAATGGTCTGAATTTATTTCAAAGAGAGTTTAAAAAAGAGACTTTGTTGTTCAAATCAAATGTTTGTGTTCCTCCGCCACCTCCACAAAGATCTGAGCTGAGTGGTAATGTTTTGCCACTGGCAATAGTAAGTGGAAAGCCCCAAAACAGGGTGTTTTGGGAACAGGGCACTGGCAGCGTTGGATCTAAAACATTGTGGGTCCTCTGAGAGGCCCAGTACTTCAGGCCTCTCAGTGATGCCGGCCTGGAGCTGTTGCAGTGAAATGGTAAGAAAAGCCGTCCCTTTCTGCCCTTGCTGGCCAAGGTGGCCGTGTTTGGGATTTGGGAAAGGCTCTTATTTCTCTGCTCCTCCCCCTCCCCAAGTTTTGCTTGCATTGTAACAAAGCAGTCTTATGTCTACTTACTCACAAATGAGTCTTACTCTAGGCAGTGAGGCTTACTCTTTAATAAGTATGTTTAGGATTGTAGCCTTTCACTTTAACTACATAATTTGTTCATCTGGCACTATTCACAGAACAGTAATAATCTTGAAAGCATTAACTGTATAGTTTCTGTACAATTTACGTTTTGTATGTGGAGCTCGAATTAACAAAATCATTCAAGTAAAAGCTACATTCCAGTGTTGAATGCTGTTCATGGTTGACAACAGTTTAACAAATTATATATTTCTGTAGGATTTTCTGCTACAACAGACGATGCTCAGGGTAAAAGATCCCAAAAAGTCTCTGGAGTTTTATACTAAGGTTCTCGGAATGACGTAAGTACCAACTGATTTTTTTGGCTGGCTTTTTTTTCTCTCATTAGCGTCTCACAATCGTCTGTTCTAAACTGCAAGCCTGCCAGTCCTGTAAGGATACGAGATTGGAGACATAATTGCATGACCTGCTTTTAGCATGGCTTAAGATACAACAGATTTGAACAAGAATGTATGCGAAGTATGAGCAGGCCAGGGCTGAACTGATACTACCCTTGCTGGTGCCTTTCCCGGGAAAGTCAGAGGCTCACTATGTCAGGTTCCTACTGGAAGACCGGACAAAAGCTAGAACGTTGGCAGTGGCAAAGTTTTTATCGGTGGTTGCAAGAACAAACGAGCCCTATATTCTAAACAAAGTGCTTGATTAACCTGGAGGTAGGCTGTATGAACTCTGTACTGATTTGTAATGTTTTGTTGGGTCTCTGGACCGTAATAAAGATTGTTGTTGTTGAACAAGAATGTTTCTAAATATTTCGTGTTGGTGATACAGAGCTTAACAGTGGGACATAAAAGTTCTGCCTCTCCTAGAACTGTGAAGTGATCCATACCATGGTGAACAAACTGCTCATCTACCTGCCCCACCAACTGGTAGAAACTGGTCAGAGATTAGAGCTTGGTAATGTTGCCTGTGAAACAGCATTCCTGAGTAGAAATTACATGCCCTGGTGATTCTGAGTTCTCTCCACACCATGGAATTCTGTTTGCTGCTAGAGGGAGCAATGGGAGGTTGGAGAGGCCCTGTACTCTAGATCAGTGTTGGAAATTAGCCATGTGCCAGGAATGTAGTTTGGGTCCAATTATGCCCATGTGGTGATCTCTGGATGCCAAACTGCTGTCTGATGAAAGCAAAATGTCACTTAGAGAAGGATCTGAAATCTTTTCTTTGATGCCTGAATTTGTTTTATACTGATGTTTTAATGTGTTGTAAATGGCTTTGAGATTTGTTCTTTAAAATATAAAGTGGTACAGTGGACTCTCGGGTTGCGAACGTGATCCGTGCGGGATGCACGTTCGCAACCTGCAGCGTTCGAAACCTGTGTCTGTGCATGCACGGGTTGCAATTCAGCACTTCTGCGCATGCGCAAAGCGCGATTTAGTGTTTCTGCACATGCGCGACCGCCGAAACCCGGAAGTAACCCGTTCCGGTACTTCCGGGTTTTGGTGGTCCGTAATCCGAAAAAAACGCAACCTGAAGCGGCTGTAACCCAAGGTATGACTGTATAGAAATGAAATGAATAATAGCAATAACAAAACTTTCTGAAGAAAAAAAGGCACCTAGACATAGAGCCTCAGTGGTGGTCGGTTTGGATTGCTGTCCAAGTAAGCATGCCGAAAAAACATGCTGTGCACTTTTTAAAATTAAAAGGCAAACAGCCCCAACTATTTGTTTGCGTCTTCTTGCCTATGGCATACACATGGGACATAGTACTGTATTGTCCCATAAATGGCAGTGGTGAGAGTATCATGTTCTGCATTTCTGGCAGTCTTGTTATAACTATGAAGAACAACAGTAAATGTTGACTTTCTAGACTACAGTAATTGAGTGCGTTAGTCTTCTGCAGTAAAAACACCAAATTACCTTGTGGCGCTATAAAAAAAGATTATTGCCTAAATTTTCTTTTGATCTATCTCTGAAGTGGATTCTTGTCTGCAAAAGCTTGCATCATCATAAATTTGTTACCCTTTAAGGTGCCACAAGGCTTATATTTTCTAAATGTTCATAACCTTTTTGACATGAACATGAGAACTTGATTACAAAACTTAGAATGTCTTTGGTGAGTGTGTTATCTGTCTGCTTTTCTCACATAAATTTAATTTCAATATGTTTATGTTCTAGCCTACTCAACAAGTTTGACTTCCCTGCTATGAAGTTCTCCCTCTACTTCTTGGCTTACGAAGATAAAAATGATATTCCAAAAGATAAAAAAGAGGGAATTGCGTGGACTCTGTCTAGAAAGGGCGTATTAGAACTGACTCAGTGAGTGTTAAAACTGTGTTCTGTAAATCATGTTTTTTCCTTGTATTTTGATTATTCTGCTGGTTATTAATATAGTTGAAGCAGTGTTTGACTTTCTTGTGAGCAGAGTGCCTTTCTTACACACCAGCTAGCTTTAGGTGTTCAGCTAAACCCTCCTGCACATTCATACTGGAGTGGACTGTCCCAGATTACACCTGAAATGCAGAAGTAGCAGCTACAGAATGAAAATTACCTCCTGGCAAATGTTTAGTCTGCAAAGTTTAACATGTGGCAAGGAGTACAGAATTGTTTGTGACAGCAAAGAAGTTGTGTTCATTATACAAACTCTGCTTCTCAAAGCTTATGCTTGTCACTTAACACTGAAATAAAATGCACATATTTGGCATATGTTGCAAATCATAACAAAATCTATTTTGGTGCTTGTCAGTATGTCACCATACGATGCTAGTGTGAAAATGAAAGCATATCCAGAATGTTTTGACTAAAATGTTAGGCATCAGTAGATGCTAAGAATAAATCCTAATATATTCTTGTCACTTAACTACAACAAAACTCCCCCTCAAATATCTAGTATAGTGAACATGGTTGGAAGCAGAGCATTGATTAAATAATAGACTGAACTTTGCCTGCACCTTCCTTTATTTCGGTGCTAGGACAAGCTTGTTTGTCGCTCTCTGAAATTGCATTTGAGACTTTTTGATTTGGTGTGCTTTTTCATACAGGAAACTTTTTTGTGATTAATGAAGGGGCAGCACTAGAGAGTGGGAGCAATGCCTGAGATTGTCCTTTCTGTTTCACTACTATCGCCCCCATCTACACTATGCATTTGAAGCAGTATCCTGGAATCTGTAGTTTGTAGTGGATGCTGAGAGTTATTCGGAGACACCTATTCCCCTCACAGAGATACAGTTCCCTGAGTGGTTTAAACAGTCAGTCTTTCTTCCCAGGGGAACTTTGGGAGCCTCAAAACATGGTGAAGTTCCGCACAAGAAAACGGTCAGTTGCGCTACATTGCTTCTGTCAGGCCAGTTTCTGACAAAAAGTTTACAACATTTGCCAGCTCTTTTTCAAGTTATGAAAAAAGGTCCTGTTTGTCCTCCAAATTCCTTCTAGGTTCTTATGGTTTTTTTCCCACACACCTATCCTGGAATTCCATTCCATTATACTTCATAGTGTCTTTTTTGTCATTTCCCCCCACATCTGCTCTAGCATTTCTACGATGCAACTGGTTTTTGATGCTGATTCTTCAGTCTTCCATCTTCTTGGCCTTAGTTTGCTTTGAGCAAAACATAATTACAAATATAAAATGGTTCTGATATTTGTCAATGAAGTGAAAAGACTTCCTTCAATAAAATGGCATTTTCAAGTGAATAATGTTATATTAATATCATCTTAATCCATGACTTAATATTTGTTTAATATTGATTCTAATAACTTGGAAAGATTTGTCATTTTATCTGTTCATGTTGTATACCTCTGATGGCTGGTCTCTTCTCCTCAGAAGTACTGTTAAATGTTCTCTTTTGCTATTGTAATAACTGTGTTTATCATGATGCATTCTTACTTTTGTTCTTATTCTCTTTCCCTCCCCACCCCCCACATCCCTCTCCTTCTTTTCTAGCAACTGGGGCACTGAAAATGATGAGAGTCAGGCTTACCACAATGGCAATTCAGATCCCCGAGGATTCGGTATGTTGTAAAGCAGGGGTGGTTAGCCTCTTTGGGATCAAGGGCTGCACTGACCCATGGTCAGTCTCTTGCGGCCAAAGTGTAAAAGTGGGCATGGTCAATTAAAAAGGATACATTCTGCAGGGTGGGGTTGGGGATCTTGAAATCACTAGAACAATTTGGAATCACAGAATCACAATAGGCTACTAGCAAGAGTGGTCAGTAAAAGTAAATAAATTATTATAATTTTAAATGACAAGTGGGCAGGGGTTTTGGAAGGTCACAAAAAGAGATTTTAGTATTACAATGGGTAACCTAAGGGAGTAGTCGGTAATTTTTAAAAACACTTTTAAATTGGAAAAATTTGCCTCAGGGTAAAAAGCCTCTTGGGGGAGGAGCAGATGCAGGCTGTGGTAAGTCACCCCTGTTGTAAAGAAAGCTGATGTGGGTAATGCTCACATTTCTTTGTCTTCCTGTGAATTTCAGCAAAACCTGTCTTAACTAGTAGATGCCAAGAACATAGGTATAATCCAATCCCAGAGTTTTCACCAGGTTTTATAGACTAAAAGCTAATTGGGGTAACTGAACTTATTATAAAGGCGGAATAACTGGATTCATAATTACTTCAGAGAATTTGGCACAAAATCTTGAGAGCAATTTCTACATCTTGAAGCAACAGTAGTTAAGGGTGTGTCTTGAATAAATGTGTGGATCTGGTGCACACATTATTCTGCATCTTTCTCTTTCTGACGCACAACCCTTTAGTAAGTGTTCCTCTAGGGAGGAAAAGAGTGCCATTTTCCTGTAGGTGCTCCAACTCTGATGGCAGTGACTCATAAACTGCAGACAATAGTACTTTCTTTCAGTTAAAGTTGGTTTTTCAGTTGTGTGTGCCTTGTTGCCGTTACCCTATCCCCCCCGGTGCCCCACCAGTTTGGTTTGTCATGGGTGTTATTCCTGTCACATCATAGAGCTAGCCACAGTTGGTGTGCCTGTTTTAATGGAAAGGTGACATAAAGCCAACTTAGATGGCTTCAGAAAGGGATGGGGAACCTGTGACCAGGTGTTGTTGGGACTATGACTTTCATCATCCTTCACTGTTGGACATGCTGACTGGGACTGATGGAAATGCCACTAGTTCTGATGGGTATATGCTACCTCCAGGATCAGCAGCATGCATCTAAATATCTGTTGCTGTGGTCCAACTGTGTGAGAAGGACGTGGGATGTGATGATGTGGGATTCCCCTTAGGCTTCACAGCTCATTGGCCATTGGTGGGGGGGAGGGGAACAGATGCTGCGCAAGATAGGCAGTGGGTCTAATTTAGCAGGGATCACTCTTAAGCAAATGTTTGATGAACAAACTATGAAATCCTCTCCCCCACACAAAAACTATCAACCATTTAAATGAAGAACTGAGGATGGCCAGCTTCTGCATTCTGTTTTCCTGTTGTTGTTGGGTCTAGAAGCATATTTTCACACAACATTCCCCTGCATTAAGAGGTCAGATATCAACAAGCGCTTCACAGTGATTGTCTCTGTGTACTCTGATGTAGCTTGGATTATGCATGCAATACCGTCCCCAGAGAACCATAACATACATTTATGCTATGGTATAAATTAACTCTGGTATATTAAGTACACTTTCTACATTGTAACAAAAAATCTGATTTGCAATTGAATTAAGAAAAGAAGGTTTTATTCACATTTGTATTAAAAGCATCATTGCCTTTGGTTACTTTGTTATTTTTCAGGTCATATTGGAATTGCTGTTCCTGATGTAAATGCAGCTTGTAAAAGATTCGAGGAGCTGGGAGTGAAATTTGTCAAAAAACCAGATGATGGTAAGTCTTTGGTGTAAATAGTGGCTCTCAAATTGTAAGAGCATGTGTTTGTTTACTTGTTTGCTTGCTAAACTAATTTTAGAGGCTTGAAACATGAATTTGTTGAGGACTTCTTCTATTAAAGCTTATAAACTATATTTCTCTTTTGTAGGTAAAATGAAAGGACTTGCTTTTATCCAGGATCCTGATGGCTACTGGATTGAAATCCTGAATCCGAACCATATGATAAATATAATCCCGATTGGAAATACTGCATAGTGATCTTGCCATCAAGAGACCGAAAATTCTTAACAATGTCCTCCTGATTTAACAAAAAGTTGTTCTAGTCATTCGCCAAATGATAAACAAATAGGAATAAACAGTATTCCCTTTCCCCTTGCTATGTCTGCAAAGGTAGGAGATGGGAAGCTTCCATTTCTAGCTTGTGGTGAGCTATACTTTGCCATTTTGACAATGCAGGAAGCTATGGTTTGCCACCCACAAACTTGGAAGTGTAAGCTTCTAATATCTTTTCCTAATGCACGAACAAATGCAAGGAGGATGCATATGAATGAGGCTTAGCGCTGCTTATTTTCATAAGAAAAGGCTATGGTTTGTGCTGACTGTATTTAAGAACCCACACGGTGGTGTGCACTTCCAAATGTACAACAGATAAACTGTGATTTTGAGCTGCTTATCTTTTGTCTTTGATCTGCATATTTCACAAGTTCTTTCCTGTCTGCACAGAGCAGCAGCATTTTGAGATGTATCAACAGTCATAACTGGTTTATCAGTGGTTTGTGAATTCAGATGTAATGGCAGACAATAATTAGTGCAAACCATGATTGAGCCTCACACAAGTTCAAACATTTTTTTAAAGAAAATCCCATAGTTTGCCATACTGCTTGAATGTAGCCAGTATGTTCTGGAATTAGTTACTTGGTTTATCCTGCACAGAAATCATAATTGTAACCTTTTCGTAGCTGGCCACATTTTGTAGTATATTATGGCCAGATTCTTATTCTTAGTTAATTTTTAGTTTTGGTATGCAATATGGCTGCAGTTGGATTATTTAAACATGCTGGCAAAATACAAGACTGTTTAGATCTTTCATGTTTTATGAACTGGAAGCAAATACTGAAGTCTTGCTCCTTTTCTCTTTGATATTGGCAAAGCTGCATTTGTTGAGGATTTTTATCATGACCCCTTCATGGGTGTATAAGACTACTTCAGCTGCAGTTACTAGTGATTAAGGCCCATTGAACTCGTGAGATATGCTTCTGAGTAAGACATATATAGAATTGCACTGTTAGTCTGCATTGTTCCTGAATCCAGTTGTTGCTTTGTGCCTTGAACCCGAGTACACAGGTTACTATGAATGAAATGGCAGTGTGCAGTTAAAGATGAACAGACAAGTACTACACTTACGGTATGAATGCTAGTTACAAGTGCTTGAAGTGGGGTAGGATGCCATCCTACTTTTCAGGCAGACATAATTCACTTTGGCTTAGCCATCCCATTTTGTTCCTCTCCCACTTCGTGCACTGCTGTATATCACACCCACAGTTGCCTTTCAGGAGCTAGGTGGCATGATACGTATTTTCTTCTTAATATCAATTTTGTCTTGGTATACAGTAGCTCTAATATAAACTAAAGCCTAGATGTCTGAAATGTTAAGGTACAACCTGTTGTGCTCTTTACCTGTCTTCAGTGGGTTTCTAGTTGTTTCCAAGCTCTCCCAAGGTTTACAAAACTGACACATGAACTAGTTGGTCTTCATCAGTGTTTAATTTGTATTGACACATTTAGACTATGCAATCCACACTTTGCCGAATAGCCCTGACTCAACTGTCTTTGTTAATTGGGGCATTGTTAGCAGCACTTTAGATCTCCTTTTGGGATTAACCAGCCTTGAGTGCAGTGTTGACATCAAATAATAATAATAAAAATATTTTCAAGTTAAGAACTCTGTGCGTCCTTCTTTTGTCAGAACACATGGAAGAATATGTAAATGAGGAACAAAGTGCCCTGCACCAATCTTCACTTCCCCCCCAAAAACTCTTCTTTTGGCACCCTCCCATGCAACTCTTCAGAATACTCTGCTTGCCTGAGAGGAAAGGAACAACTGTGATGACTGTGAACAGAATTGCTGGCAGGGCTGAGTTTGTCTGGGTCACTTCACATAGGACAGAAGGAAGCTGCCTTATACAAGCAGCTCTTGGTTAGCACAGAACTGGTTGTTGAGATAGTCCTGGAAGTTGAGGGGTGGGGTTGGTGATCAGGGCAGAGCTGTGCCTGGTTCAGGAGCTTGAGGAGGAACACATCGGCCAGGGCAGTGCTTCTCAATCTGTCACCTGTTTATTGTTTCTCGGCTAAGTTAAGCTTCATGATTCTTTGAAAACTTATTTGGAGTTGAATATTTCGGTGACAGTTCAAGGTAATGTATATAAGCAACCTTCTTACTGGCATCTTTAATAATGTCTTTTAATCTATAATACATAATTGAAAAGTTTGCTACTTCTAGCCAGCATAATTTTAAAGCCCCATAGGGGGTGTATAAACACATTAAAAATGTATTTGCTTTAATCATGGGTAGAGCACTCAAATGGGAAGGGAAATCATTAATCTAAAATACACTTGCTTTTTCAGTGTTAGTGTGTAGGCTGCATAATTGTGAAGACAACAGATGTGGCTAACACAACCTATAGCTTCACTCAGTCATTCGCCCCCCCCCCCCATTTAGCTAAAAATGGAGATTGTCAAAACATGGAAATGAGTTCCAGTCCCCCACCTTCTTGTCCTCATATCTCACTTTGAGCAATTAGTTTCTCACTACTAGCAGTGGAAGCTATTGAATCCTTTCGGAAAAAGACTTGGAACTAATAATTACATAACAGTTGTGCGTTCTTAGGTGCTGTATCATTTCATAGTTTTTAGAGCCCTGTCTGAAAACTGCAGTGCATGTAGACTACCTACAGTTGCTAAGAGCAAAACGACATTGGTCCACAGTTTTCTAAAGTCAAGCCTCTTTATTGTACACTCCAAAGCATTTCCACATTGAAAGAGAATAATAAACATTTATTTATGAATAGCTTTACCTGAGCCAACTGTAATTTTCTTTTGGAGCACCAGGGTCCATTTAAATGACTGACCAGTTGCAGCCGCTGTGAGGCCACTGAAAACCACTGATCTGCTTAGGTACTATAAGCAGCTGGTGCAATTAGTATCTAAGAGCTCATTAATTGCACACTGCTGTGGCTGCTGTTTAGGTCATTTGCAAACACTGCACATACAGTGGGTACAGCCAGTGAAGAGCCTTTAGGCTGAAATCCTAAACGCTGGCTAGAGAATTCATCCTAATGAACATGGTTGAACTTATTTCTGAGTAAACAGGCCTAGGACAGTGCCACTGATATCTAATTCAATATATCTGAAGCACCTATGGAGTTAATGGTTGTTTTTTCGGCAGCTTCTATGTGACCACTGTTGCAAGTCAATTAGTGCGTGATTTCTTCAATGCAGATTTTTTTGTAAGTTTTGTTTTGCTGCTTAATTCTGAAGTGTATGAAAATCTAGTGTCCATTGCAATTAATGACTTGTGAGGATAAAGCTTTCTCTTAAGCTCCAATCTAGTATAAACATGTCTGACTGTTTATTATTGGCCACTTTAATATTCGTAAATAACATTTGCATTAGCTCCCTGGATTTGTGTTAAATTCACTTGACTTTTGCCCATTGCTTTAGTGTTTGCACTTCAAATATAACTACTGTACATTAATTGTGATAGCACTAGGATAGGCAGTTCAATCACATTAATGTTTCACAATTAAGATCTACCTTATTTTTTGAATTGTTTGTCTACTTTACTATTGCCATGATGTTGACCAAAGTGTGCATGCCTGTTGTAGAAGTGCTGGATTTGTTGCATCTGTTTCTAAGGGTTAACTCAAGTGACATTATACAGGGGTTTTTTTTAGGTAGTGCAGATGTGGCTTGACCTGAGATTTATTGATTAAGAGTGTCAATTGGCTATACGGTATCAGCCCTGACTCTGGAATTTTTTGCAAATCCAGCAAAATCCACAACCTTTGGTTGTGTTTTAGATAAGACCCTGCAAGAATGAAAATAATAAGAGAGAGAGACCCCCATCAGTTGAGCCAAAAGACTTGTTCTGAGAATGTGAAAGACCTTTGGATATTAAAACATTGTTTAAGGAGAATCAGACATTTCGTTATTATATAGATTTGTCTATGTAATATAGCAGTTACAAAAATTTATGTCCATTAACAGTCATTCAAAGCTAGTTTCACTGGTTTGCCCCAAATGCCTGTGAAATAAGATTGTTTGTACTTGATGGTGGAAACCCATCAGAATCTTTCCCATCCACACTTCCAGGGGTTGTGTGCTAAGTGGGACATTTTACTGAGGTCATTAATTAGATCTGTTCACCAAAGGAGAAAAGTTAAAAGTGATTCGGTCTAAGGGTTGTAAGTTAAGGAGGAAAAGAGAAGAAGAAGAAGAGGAGGAGGAGGAGGAGTTTGGATTTGATATCCCGCTTTATCGGCTAACATTCTCCTTTCCCATCCTCCCCCACAACAAACACTCTGTGAGGTGAGTGGGGCTGAGAGACTTCAAAGAAGTGTGACCAGCCCAAGGTCACCCAGCAGCTGCATGTGGAGGAGCGGAGACGCGAACCCTGATCACCAGATTACGAGTCTACCGCTCTTAACGACTACACCACACTGGACATGAGTTAGGTGTTATGTAGCTGACAGGTCGAGACAGGGAAGCTCTTTAAAGGGGTGTCTGGATCAATTTCAACATGGGATCCATTAGACTTATCAGAAAAAATATAGCTCTGCTATGGAGAGACTCAGTACCAAGAATGAGGTTGATAGAAGAAATGCTTTAATGTTTTAAAATACATCAATACTTTCATAGAGTATGTTTATGGATATACTGGGTGGTATTTAAAGCTAGTCCTCCTCAAGAGTAGACCCCTTGAAGTTAATGGGCATGATTAAGGTTCCTTAATTGTAGTTGGTCCACTCTAAGTAGGACTTAGTTGAGTACAGTCCATTTAGAGTTGGAATAAAAATTATTTTTGGTATGCTGCCTCATGGACTTGCTTCCTAACATTGTTGGGGAGAAGCCTTCATCCGTCTAATGAAGAAAGAAGCTTCTAATGTGCAGAGAAGTAATAGCAAACTTGGATTCATAAAAGAGTCACTCCGAAATTTCATATGACGTGTCTGCTTAATCTCTTAGCAGATGAGAAAAATACACAAGACAGGAAGATAGTTTTCGTTGCCATCTGGAATTGTAAAACTGGTTGTGTGTGAGAGTGAGAGGCACCTGGCAGATTGCTGTATATGTAGCTGCTGCATGTTGGGTCACAAGCTGCGAATGCCCGAGTTAGAAGGAAAGTGTTTGCATATTTGAGTGTGTACTTGCACTGAGCTTCTACACTGGCTTAGTGCTATATTTGAACTTGGAGAAGTTCCTGCTGCTGGAAAGCTTTCACATGTCCAGTACTTTATGACTTGTGGTGGATACATTCACTTTCAAGTTTAGCAGTAAAATGGAGTGCAGTTGGTGACGCAGGAAAGGTAGGGCATGCCATTTATGTAGGGGCCTTAATTAATTTAGCCCAGGCTAAGTGTTTTAAAGATTTCTTTTGCTTCTTTGCAGGTTGGGTGGGTTAGGTCTGCAGTATTCTGTGGTGTTAGTGAAAGGAGGGTATTGCAGAGACTGAAAACAAAACTCAAGTACAAACTGAACTGTGAACCAGAGGGGGCAGAGTTTGTAGTGGGCTAGATGTTCTGAATGAGGGTCTCTGTATAACAAATGAGGGTACCTTCATTTTCCCTACTGCCAGCATTGAGGACCATCTTACCCAGAAGGGAGAGATCACTGAACACACACCATCTAACATCAATTGAAATGCATTTCACTTCTCTCTCTGGTCTAATTTTTATAAGATGTGGGCCACCGTGAAAACAATCTTAATTTTATACTCAAATGGGCCCGTGATTGTATGTGCCTTTCTGCATTTAAACATGAATAGGCTGATGTGGAAAGCTTACATGCCCTCACTGGGCACTTCTGAGGCTCCAGCAGCTGGGCAAGAGAGGTGGGGCTTGGGCTGGGGCTTAGAGGCTGAGACCAGGGATGACAGCAGCCCCAGCCTGCACACTGCCCTCTCATCTGCTCACCTAGACGCCAGCAGCAGTGATAGCGGTTAAGTCCCCACAGTGGCAAGGGGCTCATGGGTCCATGCCGAGGCTGCCAGAAGGGAAGAGAGGAGGAGGTAGGTGGGGAATCGGGAGCCTTACCTTTGCTTTCACACAGCAGTAGCAACAGCTGCAGTGGAGGCTGGGGTGGCTCAGCCCAAATTTTGGGGGACCAAAAGGGTCTTGGCCCCTTAGAGTTAGCTCCTATGTTTGTGCCCAAGCGTCTTCTTGTTGATGCTACTGGGACTGTCTTCCCACAGGCCAGTGTCACCAGTATCTCCTGCCTTGATTTCCTCCCCCTCCCCCCAGGATAGGCAGGTTCAATAAAGTAAATATGTGTGTCATGCTCATGCCCTTTTGGGAGGTAGCTCTGGTTTGCATGCCATCAGTTTCAAGGATTAGAAAAAAGGGGTGCCCTGCTTGTGTTTTATACCAGCTTCTGTGAGTAATTCAATTGCTGGTTTGAATGTTTTTAGGGTTTTTTAGTGCTCAGAACTTGTAAAAACATAACTTGTTTTTCCTCATATTTGTCCTTGTTGCTCTCATTAGATCCTCATAGAATAGTCAGCAAAAGTTATGATAACATCTCTCAGCGGGCGGGGTGCCTTTAGGCTTTGGTCCTAGGCTACAGTAGGGCCTTTCCATATCTGTCGTGTAACACATTTCTGGAAGCAGGCTCTTCTGCCATTTAATAAGAAAACTCACTTGTTTTGTTAAATCTCCCAAGT